GAAGATTTCAAAGTGATGCCCTCATTAACTTGAACACATCTCATCATAAACAACAGATATGTACAAAGTGTGATAATAATCTGGAGAAGATTTCAAAGTGATGCCCTCATTAACTTGAACACATCTCATCATAAACAACAGATATGTACAAAGTGTGATAATAATCTGGAGAAGATTTCAAAGTGATGCCCTCATTAACTTGAACACATCTCATCATAAACGACAGATAGTACAATGTGCGATAATAATCTGGAAATGACCTCAAAGTGATGTCCTCATTAAACTGAATATAAGACTCATCATAATCTGAATAAAAAGAAACCAATGAATGTTCTGGCTAGTTTAAAGAAATATGCAAACCATGATTAATCTTTAGTGTTTGATGCAATTTAGTGAAAGAATCCAAAATATAATCAATTATAAAATGAACTAGATTTTTTGATTAATTTATCTACAACTAAAAATAAAAATTATCATAGGCAGTATAATACAGAAAAGAACATGATTTCAGATTACTTTTATAAAATATTATTTTATTTTAACTCAGTTGCTTTACTTCAGTATTTTATTGATAATATGAACAAATAAAACTTGGAAAAAGAAACATCTAAATTTGTAGATATTGATGGAAGAACAAGTGGTTGTAGCTCAACTAAACTAACTGTAATGAAATGATTTTTTAACATTACAAAATTTATTTAAAAAATAAGCAGACACTTGTTAAAGGCATGCTTTCATAAGTGTAATAACAGACAAAAGTAGAGCAAAAACAAGTTTAAAGCCCAAATCACTGATTTCAATGACAAATGGTTAATAAGTTTTATCTCCTAAGAGTTTACCAAATCTATGTTGGAGAAATTTATTAAGAAAGTGAAAGATGAGAAACAAACCACAATATTAACAAGTAGTTTTAATTTAATCTCTGCAATTCATTGTATGGAAGGTAACTTCACAAACTACAAATACTCGGGCAAGAGAAATTAAATGTTTTATTTACATTGCAGTAGGGCTAAGAAAGATATTAATTTTACCTTGATACAACCAGCCTTAATTTACCTCAATGTTATATAGAATGTAAAATCAGGTCAGAAGAAAAACTATTACAGTCACTTACTAGTTTCAAGTATATATATATATTTAGTTAGTTAAATTTCTTCTACACCATCCTTTAATAAAATAAAATCACTTATAGCAATGGTAACAATATTAATACTAATTCAAAACTCCACAAAAAATACAATATTTTATGTGAACCTACACGCGTAGCATGGACTCTGTTAGACAAAATGTTTTGTATTCTGAAAAGTTTATGTAATGTTTAAAATATGTTAAATTAAGGATTATATTGTCTTTGTATATATATGTACTACATTAGTATTAATGGTGATGAACTTAAGTTATTGAAGGACAGTGTAACAGTTTTATGGTAACATTTATTTGGAACAGTATATTCAAATTTTATTTCCTACAGAAACAATCCACACAAAATGTATAACATTACTACATATTCATAGAGATCCATATTATGTTAAAACAGTGAATGCAGTTTTTCATATCTATGCTCTGTTATTAATTGATACACATTTTTTACGTGTAAATCTTGCATAAAAAATCAAAGTTTTCAAAAGATTAATAGTAAATAAGTTATTACAGAACAACTAAAAAATTTAAACTTTTTAAAAGTCAGCAATATAATTCTTGATGAAGTGCTACACTTCAAAAAATGAAGACTTTCAATTCCACACAGAAAATATGGATTAATGTTTCACATAGGGTTGAATTATCCAGATACATATAATTTATAGCAGTATTTTTCTGAGTGTTATTTTTACACTTTATGTAATTCACATGATTTTTCAAAGTTTAATGTCATAAAATACCAAAATACTGCATGCAAAAAAAAAAAATTGATCCAAGTTAAAAATGAAGTCTTAAGTGTTTCATGAATCACTGGTTAATCACCTCAGTTGTAAGTAATTACATCTTTATCCTACAAAACTACAATGTCACATTTGTTGTTTTTTCATTTGATGTCCAGGTGTACAGAGAAACTAATGTGTCAGATAATGAGCACAAGTTGCCTAATTTAAATATTTTACAAAAACACATAAGCCAGGTTAATGTCAGTTTAATTTAAGGTGTTCGCAATAATACAGAATTTCACTTTAATAAAATTGTGGACTGTTTTTTGTATATGTATTTTCATTATCTTATGATTTTACAAAGTCATTATACTTCTTTTCTTGGGCCTGGTAAATTTTTGTCAACTTTTTCAGCTGTCCTTTACTAAGTTCTTTTCCTTCTATATCATGTGTTGGCATTCCCTGATAAGAAAGAAAGGTATGAGTTACAAAACCAGTCAAACACCATAAAGATGAAATGAACAGCTTTGAGATGTATGAGAATACAATAATTGTAAAGCATAAAATGTATTATTCCACCAGATCTCTCTCAACTTAGTAACAAAACAGTGCAGTATGTTCTTTCACTGCAAGATAACATTTGAAACTAACCAACTTTGCAGTATGGTCTATCATCCAGATTGCCTTGATCTCTGAAAAGATGCACAACTAACATATTCTCATTATAAACAAACACCTGTCTTATTTCTGCACCAACAGGTATATAAAGCTCAACCAGAAAACAACATCATCCACCTAAATGGGATGATGATAGTTGATATCCACAACAAAAGCTTTAATTGTTATTGTATAGCATTATGGGAAATGTTTAGAGTTTGGTCTAACATCAACAATAACTAGGCAATGTTAAAATTAGCCAACTGAACAAGTGATGTTTAAGTGCTTCGTATTAGGTCATTAAGAAATTAATGTTGCTTTTTTTTTAGATGAAAAAACCTGAAAAACTTATATATCAAAACATTTATTAAATGAAATAGTCTCTATTCTTATCAATGATGCTTTTCCATCTTACAGTCAGGTTGTTAATGCCCTGATTAAAGAAATCACTTGGCTTTGAAGCAAAAAAAACATGTCAATGTCCTCTTTAACACCTTCCACATTTGCATATGTTTTCCCATTAAGATGATGTTGTAGCGAACGAAAAAGATGGTAATCTGATGCTACCATATCTGGAGAATATGGTGGGGGGAACCTCCCAACCCAACTCCATAATCTTTTGTTGCGTCAAACGTGCCACATGTGGACATGTATTGTCATGGAGAAGAAGAACACCTTCCCAATTGACGAGTGAAGGCGCTGCTGACTATAGATCTCTACATTGACAGTTCGCTGTGGATTTGATGTTGCATCAAATGTGAAGGTTCACTTTCTGTAGATAAGAGTCCAGGTTTTGGGGTCAGAAGTGGTTTTTGTCTTGAACTGAGCAATTGTTTTTGGCTTTTGATACTTGCATAGAGAATCCATTTTTCATCACCGCTGACAATTCTGTCCAAAATGGTTCTCATGCCAGAAGAGACGAAGCAACGTTGGAAACAATGATCATCAGAGAGTTCGTGAGGCACCCAAACACCTTCTTTATGGAGTTTTCCATATTCCTTAGATGTTTACTTATTGTTTGATGAGAGACATGCAATTTCAGGGCCATTTCACGAGTGTGTTGCCTTGGGTTAGACTCAACAAGTGTCTTCAGAGCATCAATATCAATTCCAACATGTTGGCCCCTGCCATCACAGTTTTTAAGGCTAAAGTCACCTGAACAAAATTTGCTGAACCATCGTTGACACTTACGAACATTCAAAACATTTCTATAAACGTCTTTGATATTCTTTGTGGATACAGAGGCATGCAATTTCGGGCTCATTTCAGGAGTGTACTGCCTTGGGGTTAGACTCAGCAAGTGTCTTCAGAACATCAATATCAATT